GTTGGATGATCACTGTCTCTCCCCTTCTCTGTAACTTTGCCTTTCACATAAATAATCAAATCTAAAAGAAAGTAGGGGGATTCCAGGCTTGGACTGAGAGGTGAGAGCAGACGGCATATGGGGAATGGCAATGGTAAAGTGAGAACAAAAACTGAAAAATCTTGTGCTTCATCTTCATCTCCTTTTGCCTCTGGTGAGTTCAATGGATGCTGACAGAAATGTCTGCCTTCTAGAAAGTAACGTCTTGGGGCTGACACTGTAGCACAGCATGCTAAACCTCTGCCTGCAATGCCAGCATCCATATGCACATTGGTTAGGGTCTTGGCTGCTCCACTTTTTTTAAAAAAAAGATTTTATTTATTTTCACTGGAAAGTCAGATACACAGACAGGAGGAAAGACAGAGAGGAAGAGCCTTCATCTGCTGATTCACTCCCAAATGGCTGCAATGGCTGGAGTTGAGCTGATCCAAAGCCAGGAGCCAGGAGTTTCCTCTGGGTCTCCCACACAGTTGCAGGGTCCCAAGGCCTTGAGCCATCCTTGACCGCTTTCCCAGGCCACAAGCAGGGAGCTGGCTGGGAAGCAGGGTCACTGGGACACAAATGGGTGCCAACATGGGATCCAGTGTGTGCAAGGAGTGGACTTTAGTCACCGTGCTGCGCCCTGGCTGCTCCACTTTTGACCCAGCTTTCTACTAATGGCCTAGGAAAGCAGTGGAGGGAGGCCCAATTGCTTGTACCCAATTGTACCCAAGTGGGAGACCCAGAAGAAGCTCCTGGCTCTCAGCTTCAGATCAGTCTACCTTTTGCCATTGTGGTCATTTGGAGATGGATGGAAGATCTCTCTGTGTCTCTGTCTCTCTCCTCTCTGTAGCTCTGCCTTTCAAATAAATAATAAATCTTTTTTTTTTTTTTTTTTAAAAAAAGAAAGTAACATCTTTGTTCTCCAACTTAGCTTTTTCTCTTCGTGAGCATCAGATCTTAAGCAGCCTGGAGCCCCATTCTTTTCCAGGGTCACTTTGCCTCAGACTAGCGGCTGGACAGCTCATGCAGACCTTTTACACTTGGACAGGGCTGTGGAATCCAGGAGCTGGGGCGTCACATCTCTGGGGCATGCAAACCACAGCTCTGTCTGGGCCAGTGGGCAAGGCGGGATGAACGAAAACAGAGGGCTTCAGGCAAGGACTAGAGAGAGATCAGGGAGTGGAGGAGCTGGGGAAAGACAGCCTCCCCGGGCAGGTGGCTCCATTTGATTTCCGATTTAAAGGGGAGGCTTAGATGGCCGAGAAGAAAAAGGCTAATAAGAAAAATATTAAACTGCAGTGTGTGTGTCCCCAGGGACTTCCTGTTGCCATGACTGACCTCCCGGAGAGCGCCATTCGTCCCTGAGCATGGCAGCTTTATAGGCACTTGTAGGCCTGCAAAGAACACCAATTTGCTGCTGCAGTTTGTTTTGATAACTGAAACTTTCAATAAATCTATATTAAAATCAAAGGGAAAATTAACTAGGCCCCAGCGAGGGGCATGAAGATAAGGGAGCACATTACCACCCTGGCCTTAGCCACCCCACATCCGTCTCTTAGTTCAGCTTCAGGTCACCAGGGAGATGAATGGCTCAGCCTTGTGGGGAACAGCCCTGCTGGGGTGAGGGGGAGCAGGGAGAAGAAAGAAATGGCCATGTCTAACCCACACAGCCCCTTCAATGAAAGAAGACCTCCAGAGAGGAGGGGTGGGGTCAAGAGGAGGGGTGGGAGATAGGAGCTGGGGTAGGCGTGCTCCCACCGGGAAGAAGAGTTGGAAAGTTGGGGAAGGGTGAGAGTAGCCATAATAGCAGATACTCCTTACTGAACCCTGCTAGGTACTGTGCTAAGTACTCATACACTCAGTTCCTCTTACACGTAGGTATTAGTATTCTCTTCACAGAGAAACTGAACTTCAGAGAGTCACTTGCCTGAGGTCACAGACAGATCCAAGGTTCAAACCTGAATAGCCTCTCTCTGAACCCACACTTGGTCATAACTGCACCACATGTAGTATCAGAAGGCCGAGATGGCAGTAGTAACTTGTCCAATTTCTTCTTCTATTTTAAAGTTATTTATTTGTATTGGAAAGTAAGATACACAGAGAAGAAGAGAGACAGAAAGGAAGATCATCTGTTTGCTGATTCACTCCCCAAGTGGCCACAATGGCCACAGCTATGCTGATCTGGACGCAGGAGCGCAGAGCTTCTTCCAGGTCTCTCATGCGAGTGCAGGGTCCTAAGGCTTTGGGCTGTACTCTACTGCTTTCCCAGGATACAAACAGGGAGCTGGATGGGAAGTGGGGCCACCAAGACACACACTGACACCCATATGGGATCCCAGCATATTCAAGGTGAGACCTTCAGCCACTAGGCTCCCATGCAGGGCCCAACTTGTCCAATTTTCAGAGAAAAATGCTTTGGATCTAGTGTAGGTCCTCACAAGTGTTCCAAGTCAAGGTGCTGCTGTACACTGCCTTTGGGTTCTATGTTCTCTGTCCACCCAGCTTTGATGGCCACTGTGCTGTATTTGTGGTGCTTTCAAAGAGTAGAAGAGTCCACTTGGTCCTGTCTCTTCATGTACACATGCTGCTCTTGCTGTTGGTTTTGGTCCAGTCACTTAATCCAGTAGTGAGGACACTGCTCAGGGTAGACCTGAGTACTGGACTCAGTTCATCTACCTCTCCAAGTAACTTGCTCCATCTGTACCCATGGCCCTGGGCTCTGACCATTTGCTTATAGCACAGCCTTGCTGCCATGTATATTACCTTGCTGACTAACACATCTGGCTAACTTACCTTCCCCTGGATGAAGGTTAGGTTTTGACACCAGTGGTGGGACTTCAGTGAGCCTAATTTGACCAAATGCCAGAGGTTTTGACTATTCTTTGTTTTCATGGTTCAGGGTGTGGAATCTGGCGCCCTCTATGGCTACCAGAGGGGTGGGGTAACATGACCCTTTCTTTTATCCCAGATGTGATGGTGTGACACTACCAGTCTCCACCACTTTACGTGTATATCCTGTAAGATACAGCCATTATTTGTTTTCTTTTGAGCTCTGCACAACTCGGTCACACACTTCTTTGTGCTTCTTTTTTCTTCCTTCTTTTTTCTCTTCATTTTTGGCTCTGCTCTGGGTCTAACACTTTCCAATTACATCTAAACAAGTGTGTTTAATTTTAGGTTCTGTTTTCTAAGGAACTAGAGAGCACCCAAGAGGGCCAAGGCTTTGGGGAGCCCAAACTGGGTGAGTCAGGAATGCACTGTACCAAGGGTATATCTAAGTTCTTTAACTCTTCTGTGATTTCAGTGCAGTTTGTCTGGTCTTTGCCCAAAATGCTTACGACCTGGTGAGGTCCTGGAAAATATACAGTTGATCCCTATAGCACTAAGAAAGGAAAAATGGATTTCTGGAGAAATCAAGGGGACCATGGAAGGTTTCAGGCTGGGTGTTAGAGAGGGTCTCCAATACAGACAGGTAGACCTATCTCACTCCTCTTAGCCAAGAAAGTTAATTATGGTCTATGCCTGGGCTAGAACTCAGATCATAACTAAGCCAGATAAGACAGGCCATCTCATGGCCTCTTATTTTATTTATATACTTCCTTAGTTATTTGTCTATTCTTCCCCCTTCGCTTCCTTTCCAATACAAAAGCTCTTTGAGAACAGAGATTTTGCTGGCTTATTCTCCACTGAATTCCATTCAGCGGTATTATAACCATATGGCAACTGACTGACCAACTGGGGTTAACGTGCAGGTAACAACAGAGGGAGGAGGATCTAGTTCCAGCTCTAAGGCTCAAGAGACAGGCAGTTGTGTCTCTATTTTCTTGATATTGAGGTTAGAGCTATGTGTCCCTGCAGCTGTTTGTCCTCTCATTTGCTCACAAACATTTGTTACATGCCTACTTTAAGCCTGGTTCTGAGCTGAGGACATGGAAATACTTATTGGAAAGGTGCTTATTGGAAATACTTATTGGGAAGGAGAGAGTGACAAGGAAATAACCCATTCTAAAATGATGGGATACGTGCTGTAGGTGCACAGTGGAATCATCTACTTCTTTTGTGGGTGGGATTAAGGAAGGCATTTTCTGATTTTGTCATTTTTGCTAGCCTTTCACAACTCCAGGAGGAACCATGGTATTATGTCAGATCTCACCGTTTCAAGTGAAAAAAGCAGATGGCAGTCACAGGGGCTTGACCACTGAAGCAGGGCCTAGAAGATGGGTCCTGACTGACTGGCAGTCAACACCATCACTGGTTTGGCTAAGGTTGGGTGGGATCTTCCAGTGCAGAACCTGGTACCTGGGATTTTCCAGGGAGGCATAACCTAGAGGCAGAAACACAGCTCTGGGCTGTGCCTGACTGGATGGCCTGTGGAAGCCTTCATGCCAGAGTCTTCTTAATTCTGAAATGTGAACTTCCTTAGGAAGAGCTTCAGAAATCTAAGTGATCTGCACCGCCCTCCCCACTCCCCAATCTCAAAATTTTCAGCTATCCACACCTCGCGCTGGTCCATATCAGACAGCTGAAGGTAAATTACCTGTTGAATGAAACGCACACAGAGTTTCCATTTACACAGAACATGTCCTCTTCAGAGCCTGCACTCTGAAATATCTTGAAGGAGGGAACATGGAGGTGGGGGACTTGGGTAAAGGTAGGACTTAGAACGTTTCCCTTAAAAAAAAAATGAGAGAGAAATAAAGAAAATAAGAAAGGAAATTAATTTTACTGCCCCAAAGTGACCTCTCGCTTTCTGAGTACGTGCCACCACAAAACTACAAGTCCCATAAGGCCAGGCGCCAGGAGCCACCATCTTGACGCACCATAACGCGCATGTCGGTGGGAAAGCGAGGGCTTGGGGAGAGGAATCCCCGCCCCGCTAAAGCCCATTGGGCGAAGGGGTGGGCGACGGGCCCGGCGGTTGGCTACAGCGCCCGCCCGTCCGCCGCGTCGGTCGGGGTCAGAGTGCGCGGAGGTGAGTCGGTGTGTTGTGGACTCGTGGTGCTGGCTGTCGCTGTAGAGGCGGCCGAGAACGGGCGGTGGGGAGCGGGCGGAGCTGGGCCTGCCGCTATCTGGCCGGCGCCACAGTCGGCGCGGGCCGCGCCCGCCGCCGTCCACTGCCCTCAGCCTTTGCTGAGGCCGAGGGAGACGTCGGGGCCTGCACCTGGAGGGAGCCTGCCGCGCTGGCCCTAAGGAGGGGGCGTTGCCATGGCGACAGCCTCTCCTGCAGCTGACGGGGGGCGGGGGCGGCCTTGGGAAGGAGGACTGGTCTCCTGGCCCCCTGCCCCTCCTCTTACGCTCCCCTGGACTTGGATGGGCCCGAGTTGGGGGCAACACCCTGGGGTGGGTGAGGCTGACAGGCCCCCCCATGGGGCCCTGGTTCATGCATGTGGGGTGTGGGGCCGTGGTGGTGCGCAGTTCGTGCAGTCTTGGGTGCTGGCCCTGGGCGATCTGAGGAAGGCTCTGGTCGAGGGGGATGGGGCAGGGGTTTTGCAAGAGCCTGGGTGACTTTGTTCAGATTTACCTGAGGTTATTAGAGAAGAGGAAGAGGGATCTGACAGGCCGTTCATCGAGCATGGAATTAGTAGTAGGTCCCTTTTGCCCCCTCCTCAGGACGGGGAGACAGACAGACAAACGCGCGCGCGCACACACGGTTAATAGCTTGTAGTTCGGAGATGGTGATTGCAGTGATCTTGGCAATTGTGACTAAGAGGCCTAACCTGGCTAGCTTTGTGTTTGCTTTTCCTGCAAGTGGCCCAGCAACAGGTGGTTTTTTTTTTTTTTAATTTATTTTTTTAAGACTAGAAAAAGCGTGAAGTTGCCTTGAGGCTTGACTGAGAATTCTTGGGAAAGGTAGCTGTCCCTTGTTGATTTGGAAGATGCTAGATGTGTGACCCCTCATTGGGGGGTTTGGAATGTGTTCTTAGGGTTGGGTTTTGTAGCTGGCAGTGCCCATCAAGACTTTAGGGTAAGCCTCTTGCCACTCCTACCAGGCTGTTGTCTCTTGACAGGCTTTTCAGATTTCGGTGGGTTTTCTGAAAGTGGAAGGGCAGCGAGACTTGAATCCCATTGGCTGGAGACAACACTATTGGAACTGCAGTAGATTGTGATCGCCTGAATGATTTTTTGATTGTCGTGTTTCTACTAGAAATTGGCTTCATCAAATTCTGCTTTATTCTGACTTGATCAGATCCAGCAGCCTTGTTTTTGTGGGCTCGTGCTTGGAGTTTCAGTATATCACACCTGAATCCCCTACCATTTAAAAGTCAATTTATAAACAGGGACTTGGAGTGTGACTCCACTAATGTGTGCCTGTGCTCTTGGTTAGAAACCCACTTAGCTGCTGCCTTGGTCAGGAGGTGGGCATGGGGGCAGGGAGCTGCTGGGAAGTGATTGATAAGGTTTCCTGTATGGATTCCGAGGGGCCTCACTGGAGCGCAGAGCACTTTGGCAACTTAAGCACTCCAAATTAAAAGCTCATTAACAATTCCTGCCCAAAGATCCAGTAAATAACCAACCCACTAGGTCATGGAGCTTGGCTAAAAGCTCTCCCTCCGACTTGAAATTTCTAAGTGGAAAGCATTTTTGTTCCTGTTTCATTTTGAAGTGTTTTCTTTGTGGTGGGACAGTTGGTGAGTGGCGTTTTCTGAGGAGATCTAAGTGGAATTAAGTCTGAAGTGTTTAGATTGGTAATCCTAGGTAGGGGGTGTGTGTGCGCATGCGTGCGCATGCATATCCCTGGCTTACAGGGTGGCATCTACAACTTCCGAACAGAAGATCCGAATTGGGTGATAAGTATAATAGGCATCCATTGACGCTTTCAGGTGGGGTTTGCTGGCCTTGACCATCCTAGTGCTGACTTAGAAGTGTCTATCCTGAAGGCATTTCCTGGCCTTTGTGACCTATTGCAGTATGGCCTGCGCATGTGGCAAGCAAACCCTCTCCTCTTCCTGGCCTGTTCCTCAGTCCCTGACTTCTGGATATTGTCAGCCTCATCTGGGTCTCCTCCTTGACTGGGCTTCTGACATTATCCAAGAAGGTCTCCACATCATGGCCATTTTTCTCAATCAGATAACTTAAATGTGTAGTGTTCCTAAAAAGTAAGCCTCCTTAGGAAAAAAAAAAAATTGTTTCAGTAAGGAAAATGAAATCTATCATTCTCCAAATTCCCATCTGAAAGCTCTGTGTGTCCACATGGAAAGCGGTTACACCCCGGTTTGAGTTTGGGAGTTGGAGGTGAGCCTTAATGGGGATTTGATCTTCCTATGGAGATAGACTTGTTGCAGAGATATGTATTTATTCACAGCATTGGGGCCTGCCAGCTCTCCCAGAACCTTCAGCATCCCCAGCCACCAGTCTTGGCATCTTCGAAGTAAGGAGAGGTGAGAATTCCCCTTGCATGGTCAAATTTGGCTCTTCCTTTTGAGTATTTGGGCTGGTGGGGAGGTAAGGGTGGATGCTACTGCAGATTCTATTTCTCTGTAGCTTCTGATAAAAACAGCATGTACTGTAAGACTCTCCAAAACTTAGGACTGGAAGTGGAGAATCAGGGTCCTCGAATTCTGGTCTTGTGAACACCTGCTCTGGGTTCAGGGTGGCTGAGTTGACTGAGTACAGCCACAGTTGTCCTGCATTCTGAGAAATACACACTGAAAGACAGGAGTAAGAAGCCCATTCATTTTGCTTTTGATGATGAATTTGATCAAGCATTTGAGAACATGATTGTGTATCACCTTTAGATGGTCGGTTAACCCATTTTGCCAGGATCAGGACTAGGAGGAGTCTGATGATTCAAGTCCAGGGTCTGGAGGCTGTTGAAGGGCCAGGTACTTTGTTGGTTCCTGGGGTTGTAGTTTAAGGCAGCCACCCTGATACCAGGGAGCATGGGAGTTCATGGTCAAGACAGATGGTGAAGAAGCAGTTGTGATGTGCTCTGAGAATGCATTAATAAGGGCCGTATGGATGTTCTGGGAGTACAGAAGGGTCTCTAACTCAGACTGGTAAACTTTGGGAAAGGCCTCTTAACAGGAAGTAACTTCCTTACCTAGAATTAGATGAAGACAAAAGAGACCAAATGACTTTTTTTTTTTTTAATGTTTAGCAGACTTTAGTGAGTACTTGAGAGAGCTTTGTTAAGTTTGAGAAAGTTCAGTGTAGTTGAAATGATATTTAGAAGGGACAGGTCAAGGGAGTATGGTGAGACGTGAGGCAGAAGAGGGAAGCAGAGGCCAGAGTCTTTAAACTTAACAGTTGGATTCTGAGAGGTGGAGATGATTAGATTAGGGGCTGGCAGGTGTTACCTGAGAAGGACAAGATGGTAACTAGGCTTGGTGAGGCTATCATGACTGCTCAGCTCTGGTTAGGCATGAAACACGGGATGAAAACAAAGGAGCATGACTGCTCCTATAAAACTTTATTTATAACAACAGTTGACTGCTGAATTTGGCCATGGGCCATAGTTTGCTGAACAATTTAAGACCTGCAAGAAGCTGTTAAAAGGATTGTGTTGTAGAGAGTTTGCTCCAGTGTCAGTGTGAACGAAGAGTGCCCTGTGTCGAAGAGGACTGAAAATTCCCGAGCAGGGAGACTAGTAAGGAGGCAGACACATGGGCAGCATCTTGTATTATTTCTTTTGTGGCTGTGTTTGGCTCTTTCCTTTTCCCTTCTCTTCCCTTTTTTTTTTTTTTCTTTTTTTCTAAGATTTATTCATCTGAGAGGCTGGGTTATGTGAGAGAGAAAGAAGGATCGATCTTCCATCCACTGCTTTATTCCCCAAGTGGCTGTAACAGCTGGGCCAGGCTGAAGCCCATAGCCAGGAGCTTCATCTGGGTCTCCCACATGGGTGTAGAGGTCCAGGGATTTGAGCCACCTTAATCTGTTTTCCTTGCATTGGTAGGGAGCTGGATCAGAAGTGGAGCAGCTGGGATTTGAGCCAATGCCCACAACACCGGTCCCCATATTTGATTCTTAAAAATATTCTATAACAGAACCTATATGTACATGTACATGTGAATGTTGTTTCTCTTTCTGACTTCCTGGAACTTAAAAAATGTCTACCAAAGTGTTGGAAGTACCAGATCCTATTTCACGGAAAAAGAGACTGGAAAGCAGTTAAAAGTTAAAAGGTTTTGGGACCCGAGCACTTCCATCATCACTGGGTTCTGTTCCTAGGTTTGTTGGCGGAAGGAGGCAGCCGGGACATTAGTGGGCACTCTGATATGGGAGGCTGGCATTACAAGCAGTGACTTACCCTGTTGCCCACAGTGTTAGGAACTGTTTCCTAAGGAAGAAACTACAGAGTAAATGAAGTCCTGCAAGGCATCTTGATCATGAGGCTCAGCTCTTAGTTGCTTTGAACTTCATGAACTGTATACATTGAAAAATGACCCATTTCCCTCAGCTTTCCAGGGAATTGGCCTAATAATGTGTCCCACTCAGGCTCTTCTCTGCCTGTTTTTGCAGGCTGGTGACCTTTTCCCAGTTTTTAAACTGTCTCCCAATTCAGGTGTGGTGACGTGTCACAAAACATGCTGTCTGTTGACTTCCCGATGGGTAGGTGAGAGCTGAGAGGCCCGTGCCTGTCTGCTCTGTCCCTGTGTCTTCCTCCTGACTCCAGCATACTCACTTTGCTGGAGGAAGCCTATGGGTTTTGGGTAACAGTATTTGTGTGACCTTGGGCAAGTGACTCCCCTCTCTGGGTTTCACTTTCCTATCTGTAAAATGGAGATAATGAGATTGAAAAGGAATGCTTAAGGATTTAATTAAAACTGTCAACACAGTGTTTTGCTGGCTTTCATTACAAGTACTATTTTGCAAAGTAAATTTTTTGAAGATGAAGTCTTCCTCTGGGGTGAACGGCAGGCATGCTTATTACCCATTATGAAAGATTTAGGTTTCTTTTTAAGTTTATGTGTTTTTATTGGAAAGGTAGATTTATGGTAGATTTACGGAGAGAGAAGGAGATACAGAGAGGAAGATCTTCCATCCGTTGATTCACTCCCCAAGTGGCTGCAATGGCCGGTGCTGTGCTGATCCAGAACCAGGAGCCAGGAGCTTCCTCTTGGTCTCCCACGTGGGTGCAGGGTCCCAGGGTTTTGAGCCGTCCTCCATTGGCCTTCTGGCCACAAGCAGGGAGCTGGATGGGAAGCAGGGCCGTCAGGATCCCTGTGTGTGCAAGGCGAGGACTTTTGCTGCTAGGCTACCATGCTGAGCCAGAACTTTTTTTTTAAGATTTATTTATTTTTACTTGAAATAATTAGAGAGGCAGAGAGAGATCTTGCATCTTCTGGTTCACTCCTCAAATGTCCATGATGGCCAGAGCTGAGCCGGTACAAAGCCAGATTCGAGGAGTCTTTTCCAAATCTTCCATGCAGGTATAGCGACCCAAGGACTTGGGCTGTCCTCCATTGCTTTCCCAGACCGTGAGCAGGAAGCTGGGTTGGAAGTAGAGCAGCTGGGATCAGAACTGGCACTCCTATCAGATGCTAGCATTGCAGGTGAAGAATTAATGGGCTGTGCCACCATACCTGTCGCAGAATTCCAGAACTTATTTTTAGGATAGACTTTAGTCCCAATACGGTCAGAAAAGTGAAGCAAGTGAGTAACTTTTTCAATAAAAATTCACCAAATACGACCAGTTTATTCCTTCCTGAGCCCTGTTGCTTGCACAGCTTTGTAAAGTGCTGCTTGAATTTTTTTCTTATTAAGACTTATTATTGGAAAGGCAGATATATAGAAAGGAGGAGAGACAGAGAGGAAGATCTTCTGTCCATTGATTTACTTCCCATGTGACCGCAACAGCTGGAGCTGAGCCGATCAGAAGCCAGGAGCTTCTTCTTGGTCTCCCACGCAGGTACAGGGTCCCAAGGCTTTGGGCTGTCCTTGACTGCTTTCCCAGGCCACAGCAGGGAGCTGGATGGGAAGCGGGGCTGCTGGGATTAGAACCAGCACCCATATGGGATCCCAGCGCATTCAAGGCAAGGACTTTAGCTGCTGGGCCTCTGGCCCTGAATGTTTTTATTTTATTTTATTTTTTTATTTTTACTGTTTTCACCAGCACTGTGGGAAGTGGATCAGGTGATGGATATTTGTATCCTTGTACCAATGTGAGGAAAGTTAGGCTCCGGGAGGTTCTGTCAGTTGCTGTGAGGGGTTGCCAAGCCTAGTACAGTCCCCTGCACGTGAAGCTGTGTTGGTTTATTGCTGTGGTTTAGCCTTCCCTTGGGTGAAAGACTGCAGTGTGTGTATACCTGGTCCAGTCCTGCTGGGCTTTACTCAGCCGCCGAACCCCTTTGGTTCTTTTGGATTTTAATTGATGACTGATAGGATCAGACCTATTGGGAAGCAGATTCCCTTAGGGTCATTGTTTTTAGCTTTTCCTCCTTTGGGAACACTCCTTGGGGAGCCTTGGGTTAGGAGGGATTGCTTTGATATGTTCAAAATTGTGCCTTGTGCCCCACAGCTACAGGTAAAATCAAAAGGCAGATAATTTATGGGAGTGTCAAAGCTGGCCGCTGGCACCTCGGGAGGCCATTAGTATGCCTGTTCAGGCCCTCTGTGTCCTTGCAATTGATTCTTCTTTGCATGAGCCTGATTTGGGAAGCTGTAGATCTGTGGGTAGTGATTGGATGTGACAGTCCAAACACCGGTCCCTAAATTAATCCTTTTAATAGTATTCCGACATCTCTCTTTCTCTCATGGATGAGGACAGAGTGGCATGGCCTAGGAGGAAGGATAGAGAAAGAAAGAAAAGAAGCTTTGTTCAGTGCCGGGTCTTGCTGTATTCTAGCACGATCTGACTCCAGAGCACTTGGCATCGTAACCTTGGGCATGGTCATTCCTTCAGTAAACCTCACTCACACTTACTGTCTGCCCGACTCGGAGCTGGGTGCTGGGAATACAGAAGTGAGTACAAGGTGATCCTTGTCCTTAGAATTCAGCTCAGTGTTTCTCAGGCTTTTAAATCTCATGCTCCATTTACATTAAAAAAATTAATCTCATGCTCTTAATGCTGCTTGAATTTTTGAAATGTGTTTAAAAAAAAAAAAGCCAAAGGATCATGATGTCAGATACACTTTTTTTCCCCGCTAAACATACAAAATGCACATAGACACCCACGCTGCTGTCTTCCATCCTCCCCTAACTCATTGAACATTATCGGTGGTGGGAGAAAACTGATGCCATCTTCTGATATAGTGAGATGAAGGCTGTGAAACAGGAATAAATCACACCTAAGCAATTAACTTTATTATTATGGAATATCAGAGAAAGCTACTAAAATGAAAGCGCTCTGAGCTGGATTTTGAAGAAGTGGCAGTAAATGCCTGGTGAACAGTGGAAGTGCATGTCTAAACAGAGCAAGGAGAATTTACCAGGGTGCAGG